AGGCCACCTTTTAAAGTAAGCTGATTCTTAAGGATTATTGTGGGTTTGTTTCTCTCTCTCTTTCTCTCTCCCTCTTTACTCTAATGGCAGAAATAAAGCAAACAGATTTTTTTTTAAACCAGAAACCAAAATCTATAAAGGAAAGAAGAATGATCTTAGCTGCATGCAGTTACTTACTAGTTGTGGAACAGTATGAAACTGGGAGGAGGAGAAGAAAGGGAACTCAGGGACAAGCATTTCAATGACTTACATAACCTCTATTAGTCCTTTCCTCGTCACAGATACTTAATGTTAGAGAAAGCAGTGTTATAGGCAGACTACTACAAAAGCAGATTGCTCATCAGATAATATAACCAACTGTCATGATTATGAGGGTTAGCCAGCAGCCTGGGGATTAAGGGGTTAACTACACCTAGCCAGGTGGAGTGACCAATAGGAATGTAGGTGGGACTTTTCAAACTGGGACAAAGGAATTTGGGTTTTTTTCCTTTCTCCCTTTTGTCTCTCTGGGTGAGTTCTCTGCAACTACAGAGAGGGACAAGCATGTCTCTCTCTCTCCTGGTATGTCTACACTACCCCGCTAGTTCGAACTAGCGGGGTAATGTATGCATACCGCACTTGCTAATGAAGCCCGGGATTTGAATTTCCCGGGCTTCATTAGCATAAGCGGGGAGAGAACCCGCTTCAATACAGAAATAAAACCTCTCTGACCACGCAGCCCTCGTTATCACCCGCCACCCCCCACTGGCATCCACACGGGGTGCCATCAAACAGCCAGAACCCATACACCATGGGGACCCCATGCAGACAGAAATCCTTCCTGAACCCCCACTTCTGGCCTTCAATCCTCAAAATCACCAACAAACAAGCTCCCCGCTTATGCTAATGAAGCCCGGGAAATTCAAATCCCGGGCTTCATTAGCAAGTGTGGTATGCATACATTACCCCGCTAGTTCGAACTAGCGGGGTAGTGTAGACATACCCTCCAAGACACCATTCTTCATTTTCTGTAAGTAGGGTAAAGTTTAGGCAGTTTCGTTAGGTTTTATTGTTTTAAGGATTGGGTATGGGATCTGAGATCTGGCACTGTTTAAAAGATGTTTTGGCTTTTCTTGGTAACTAAGTTCTAGGCCAATGGAGTTTCTCCATGAGTATATTTTGGTACCTCCCTATCTAGTCATTATGGTTGCAACAGGAATATTGTTGTAATAATAAAAGTTCTTTCTTTTCTTTTTATTAACCTGGCAGTGGTTAATTGTGTGCCTTGATTTTTATTTTAGGGGTAAGATTTCCCAAATGATCTTTCCCCTGATTTCTCTATCAACATTTGGGTGGTGGCAGCGGAAGTTTTATACCAAAGCCTGGTAGATAAGGCTTTGGGGTACACTTGCTGGCCCCCACTTCTGCATTTATCATGCCAGAGTGGGGAAGGAGCCATGACACCAACTATTAAACCAACATTTGAAATGGCATCATAAACCATCTAAAGACAAGATACCGAATTCAACATTTGCTAAAAATTCTTCCATATGTTGCAAACAGAACCGACTGAAAATTATTTAGAAAATGAAGCTTCCTTGAAAATCAAACACTTCACAGGAACATATTGTTTTAGACAAAATTTTTGATTGGAGGAACATATAAACAAAACATTTAGTCTTTGTTCTGTTTAATTTGTTATATTAAAGTACCTTTATAATTATATTGTATGTGCTACATATATCACTTCAGTATTATAAAATTAAAAAGTTCTGAAAAACTAAGATTCAGAATCTGTTTCAAAGGAAATTTAGAACTTGACATATTTGTGCCAGATCAGAACAAAGTGTCAGTATCCTGTGGAACTGAAATTCTGGCTTCCAATCAGCTCAAGTTGCAAAATGCGTGCATATATGTTTGAAAAGAATAAGCATTTATGGGAACTTCAGTAAGGATATATGTAGTTGTTAAATCAAAAAATGTTGTCCTAAGGGTAGGAGAACTGCTATATGCAGAATAGGAGAATCATGGAAAATTAATCTTAGCTGAGTCAAGTCCAAACAATGTTTCTTGTTCAGATAATATAAAGACTCCCAAGTTTATTTTCAAAGTGCATATAAATAGCATGTAAGTAAATCAGGATTCCCTCAGAGGGAGTATATGATAGAGTAATTAAATCCTGGGAGCTGTAAGGATGACCACATCACACATTTAAGTGGTAGTGGCAGGAAGGGAATCTGGCTGGCTGGCTGAATGAAGGGAATAGCACTGTATGACTGGGAGAGGTCAAACTGCTGAAAGAGAGGCCAGTGTCGCAACACTAACTCATCACTTGTGACCTGGATGGGGGAGGGTGAGAGTGTAGAAGGGGCTGCTTTGTGCATGAAGCTTTTTACATGGAACAGGCTCAGGCAGCACTCACCTTCCCTTTCCTTTAAGTGGGGAAAGACCAGTTTTAGTCAAGACCTGTTATGGGCATAAGGCCAGCTGTGCCCCTCCCTCATTTTCTCCCTCCCCCCCTCCCCCCCACATCACAGACACTCCTCTTTTTTTTATTTTAGGGGGTTGAGAAGGAATTGTCCTTTACCAACATTTTAGTTTGGTGGGATTTTTTTTTTGCATGGCATGAAGAGCAGTAGGCTATATGTTGCAACTTCTTATATAAGTGTGAGGCAGATATCCAGTGCAGATGCTCCATAGGAAAGCTGTACAGTCATAGGTGACTCATGGTACCACTCAGGAGGTGCATCCATCAAAATGTTAATTGCCAAATGGGATTCTCATGTATGCCTGCTCCCTGCCCCTCTAGGTATTCCTCTCTACCTCCTCCCCCCACAGACATCAGCCAATCCTTTGTATAGTGATGGAATAAATAGCTTTGAAATCAACTTTAAGGCTGTGTCTACACTGGCATGAATTTCCGGAAATGCTTAAAATGGAATACTATTCTGTTTTCAGTTTTTCCGGAAAAGGAGCGTCTACATTGGCAGGCTACTTTTCCAGAAAAGCCCTTTTTCCAGAAAAGCGTCCGTGGCCAGTGTAGACGCGCTTTTCCGGAAAAGACTACTGGGCTGTCTACACTGGCCCTTTTCTGGAACAGTGTTCTGGAATAAGGACTTATGCCCAAGCGGGAGCAGAATAGTTTTTCCAGAATAGAGGCTGATTTTGTACAATAGGGCATCGTTGCTATTCCGGAAATTCAAGGGCCAGTGTAGACAGCTCGCAGCTTATTCCAGAAAAGCGGCTGATTTTCCATAATAAGTGGCCCAGTGTAGACACAGCCTAAATGTTTAGAGTAGCAGAACAAGGGTTGGAGGAAGGTTGATGGTGCTAATGGATGATACAGCAGGGAGCCAACCCCTTTTCTGATAGCCCATCTTAAACCTTCTATGAAAGGTTGGACAGTAAGGTCCCAGGAATGGATTGGCTGGAGGACCCATCTAGAAAATGGGTGAAGGAGCTGACAGAAGCACCCTTGATAATAATAGACTGCTCACTTTTATCTGCCAGGTAATCCCAGACAGCTAATAATAAAGCCATGGTCACAGTAATGCCATATCAAATGTCCTCCATTCAGTATAGCTGACAAGTGCTATTGTAGCAGGAAAAGCAATCATCTGTATTTTTAAGAAGGTTTAAAGATAAACAAACCCTGACCAGAAAAAAGGGATGTAGAATATCACAAGCTTTATGAGAACCTGGCAGTGCCTGAGAGAGGCTTATTGTGGCCATGATGGTTATATGATTGAGCAACACTGGAAATGCTCTTATCTGCATGGATGTCAATATGTACAGAATAAGATTGATTAACTAAATCACTTGACAGGAGAAAAATAAAATGAAAATTAAAACAGTTTAAAATGTTTGAAAGATTTATGAAAAATGAAAGAGAGGCTTAAAATCCTGATGACTCATTATCCCAGCAGCTGCACATGCAATACACATTGAAATTGTAGTCAACTGGTAGGTTCCTGGAGCCCCTGATTTCAGTGAATTCAGTTGCTTCTTAGAGGATGCAGAGGAGTCTGTAGGCATAAGATTGCAGAACTATGACTTTGCATCACAGGAAAGTGCACATTCCTGGTTTTTTAATGTCAGAAAATCCTATTTCTTGGTTTGATACTTCATGAGTTCTTGAACTCTACTCGGGTCATGGATCCAGATTCACATATATCCACAAGCAGGTTATTACAGATGAAAAATATTTCATTTGGGGGGTGGGAGAAAGGAGTTCCCAGCAGATGTTTTTAAATTGTGTTTAAATGGCAGCTGTGTGAAGTAGCTCCAATGGAGTTCCATGGGAATTGCAAAAAGAGAGAAGATATAAATGAAACAATCAGTGGGTGTGCGATAAATGCTTTTTATAACATGGTTCTGCAGTTTATTACGTGGCCTCCAAAACACTTTGTTATTACATGTATAAAATGTTGTCATATTACATCAACTGTGTTCAATATACTCTGTTTTATAAAGTCTTTTTAGTCTTCAAAGCTGTTTATTCATATGACCTAAATAACCTGGTTAAAATATCTGTGAGAGAGAAGCCAGAATTATTAGGTAGAGAAATGAAGTCACTTGCCCCAAATCACAGCAGGAGTCAGTAGCAGTGGTGGGGCTGAATTTAGGAATCTTTGATTTTGCTTTTGTTCAAAAGCTTCAGAAGGATAGCCAAGTTAGTCTACAACTTAAAAACAAACAAACAAACAAACAAACAAACAAAGTCCAGTAGCTCCTTAAAGTCTAACAAAACATGTAGATGATAATCACAAAAGCTCATGATACCATGTATTCTACATATTTTGTTAGTCTTTAAGGTGCTACTAGACTATTTGTTGTTTTTTTAAGTTTTTGCTTCATGTGTTAGACCATTCCTTTAAATAAATTTGGAAAGTTCTCTCTCTCACACTCTTACAGACCCCTACTCACTGAACAACTTGATTTTTCATTAGTGTTTGCAAATATTTCAATTGGTGTAATGTGTTTGAGCTGTGGCACAATCTCTCTCCTTTCTTTGTCCTCAGGCAAGTTCCCGTGGTATGAAAATGAGCATTTCTGATCAGTGACCACAATGGGTAAGGCTTCCATGTAGGCTGAAAGACTATAGCAAGCTGATTTGAACTTAGAATTTCAGCTCCCTATCTCCTCTATAAGCTACAGTTTTCAATTTAAATCACTTGGAAATCTTTGAGCAAACAGTGGAATTTCTGGATGCTCCAATGAAGTAATAGTATGTAAATATCATCAGTTGCACTTTATGTACATTTTCCCCCGCCACTGTAGCTATCAATAGAGATTTATTCCTTTGAACGTCTTGTGACATTTACTCACTATTTCTAGTATAAAAGTGTACTATTCTTTTCTCAGTAATTAGCATTCCTTTGTGCTGCAGTATTTACAATTCACCAAAAGGAAAAGTTTGTATGTATTAAAAATCCATTGGGCTGATCATGATGTAAATTGGTTAATTGAGTAATATATGTTACAAATACTTGAGTCAATTTCTTTTCTATGATAGAATAATCACTAGTATGGCAATATCATCAGGTCTTCATACAAAGTGTTTGGGTGTTTTACTTTGCATAAAAATATCACATGATGTGATGTATATTTATCTATTAACAAAAATAAGTCACTCAATTAGGAAAAGTTAAGAATTGTGTGTGGCTGGTTTTAGATAAATGAGGCTATTAACTACTGTACATTTCTTATACAACAAAATGACCACACAGAAGTCAGCATGTCTGTAATATACAGCATTGATTAGGACAAGTGGGTGACTAATGGACAGACACATGGGTAGGGTTCAAATGTTAGGTCACAACTATATTAAATACACTTTGTGGAGGGCACTACACTACCCCAGGTCTCCTATAATATGTTCCAGGGGAGGTTACCAGGCTTTTTCCATGAATCAAACAATTGCTTGGGGGAGGCCCTCCCAGTTCTAACCCATGGAATTTCATCAGTTGTGAAATCTCTTCCAATGCCACACTCCCCCACATAAAGTGGTTGAGTGATGAAGGCCACAAGGCTGGTGGGTGGGATAGGACAAGAGAGTGGAAAACTTCAGTCTGCAAGAACTTCAAGCTCTTCACCCATTAGGAGAACAAGACTCCCTGCACAATTGTGTGTCATCATCCCTAGGAGCTAGCCCTTTTTTGCCTTTACCCTTGTTGGACACCAGCTGCAAAATGCAGCAAGTTAGTAATCAGAGCAGAGCTTGAATCTGATTGTTTCTAACCCAACTGAGGCTCTGGGAAGTGGTAAGGAAGGTGGAAAATCCCAATTTGGTCCAGGAGGGGGAAAACCCTGACAGCTAAAACAAACTAATTATCAAAACCACAATGTTATAAGCAATGGAGCATCTAATCTCCAATTGAGCAGCTAGCTGGACAATCACAGGTTTTTGAAAAGCCTACGCTTAATTTAAATATGCCTATGAGAGGGGGACCAATGGCAGGCAGCCAATCAGGTGGCCCCTATTTCCCTTTACTTAGTCAATGTCAGTTGGTTTGGGCGGGGGAGAGAAGAGAGGGCAGTTCCCTAAACCCTGCCACACATGCATTTTGCTCTTCTCTCATTCCCTGCTCTCCAAAGTAATTACCCCATTAAAGTCAATGGCAGGGTATTTAAACTGTGTCTTATGGAGCTAACAAAGTTTATCAAGCTTTTAGAGCTATAGGGAAAAAAACATCAACTACAGTTCTTAAGTAATTATTTGTTTTGAAATGATTGTTTCATTGAAAACAAATATAAATGGTTTAATTTTTTCTTTTGTTTTCAGTTCTGTGTTACTTAGAATTGTGACTATGTAGTACATGTCTATTGAAGGGGGTGGGGTGGGTGGGCGGGGAAGGATAATCCTCACAGGGTAAGAGAGGTAAGGAAAAAAGTAGAAAGAATCCAATATATTCTACATTGAAATTGATGTAGATGGCCATCCTGAAGCAGAAAACACATGGTAGTACTGTTCTTAGATTATTAGTGATGGGACAGTGAGAGCAATCCATAATATGTGGGGGCAATACCAGAGGCATTCTACTTTCTGGAGAGACATGCAGATAATGATATTATCAGAACACATGCAGATAATGATATTATCCAGAATACATGCAGGATTTTGATTAGGTAACTATGGGCACATTGCTGTTACCTCTTTAAAATGCGACAGAGTAGAACATGTATTTGGATTTTCAAGACCAGGGTCATCACCTCTTAGTAAATCCACAAATCACCTAAATTACTCTACTTCAAGGCCCAAAGTCATCCTTCAGGTAAGCCCAACAGAATTAATGGAGTTAGACTAGGGGCTGATTTGGCTTGTTAGTTAAGTGTCTCCATATTATCAGCAGGGGGCAGTGACACAAATACACACAAATGCAGGTCAAGATGGAACCAGTGCTATCTATAAGTGATAGTATTACAATCAAACAGAAGCAGTATATAGCACATTTGCTTCAGCAGAAGCAATGGCTCACTCAGCTCAGTCTCTGAGGGATAGCTGTGTTAGTGTGTATCTGCAAAAACAATGAGGAGTCCTGTGGCACCTTAGAGACTAACAGATTTATTAGTTGTTCTTCGTTGTTCACTCCGATCAGTCACCTTGTAATTAGCTTCTTGTAATTTACAAAGCTTGGCACAAGGTCAGGATGAGCACTTCTCTTTGTGATGCTGTGGACTGTAGCCCATCAGGTCTCTTAGACCTGTTAAGAAGTGACATATCTTTGGGAGTCTCTTACAACTTTTGTGTGCAGAAGAGTCTCCCATATTTCTAATAGGGCTGACAGAGCATTGTAACTTAAAGTTTCTCTATGTGTGTGTGCTGCTGCTGCAAGGGTCCTTTTAGAGATTTGTAGAGAAAAGAGATGAAGAGCCACATCAGTTGTAACTTTTGCATTCACTATAGCATACCCATATAGTGCTTAATGCCAAGAGATCATTTGTCCATGTCAATGGACCATTCAGCCAACAACTATATATATATATATATATAAAATTGCAGCCACGTAGACAATAGCATCCAAAACAACAAGAACAATGAGAGGAACCCTATGATATCATTTGGGTTCATTCCCTACTTTGATCTGAGATTTCAGTTCAGATGCAAAATACATGTGTGACAGGGCATTCTATATGCTATATGAAAATGTGTTTAGGAATATGAAGAGAGCAACTGGAATATGCATTATGATCTTCTCGTGAGAGATCACTGGAAACCTTACATACGATAATCCCATTTCTGTTCATGTATCATTCCTGCATTTGAAGTTTAAAATATTAAGTATAAACCTGTGTTACTAATGCAGTCATGTGGAGACCATTAGTAGTACACACCCAGAACAATGATCTATAAGGGTATGTCTACACTAGCCCCTAGTTCGAACTAGGGAGGCTAATGAGGGGGACTGAAATTGCTAATGAAGCTAATTAGTGAAATTGCTAATGATTAGCATATTCCCAGCCGGTCACCATTTTGGAAATGTAGTATTTCATTAGCAATTTCGGTCCCCCTCATTAGCCACCCTAGTCAGTTTCCAAAATGACGACCGGCTGGGAATATGCTAATCATTAGCAATTTCACTAATTAGCTTCATTAGCAATTTCAGTCCCCCTCATTAGCCCCCCTAGTTCGAACTAGGGGGCTAGTGTAGAAGTATCCTAAGTAAATTGGTTTTTACTAAAAAGCCTGGAAAAGGCTCTATGATGGCTTCTACCAAGACATGTGACTATCTCCTGATTCTGGAATCTATCTTATCCCCTGTAATTTTCCATGAGAAGCTGGGAGAGGGGTTAGACTGAACACAAAGGGTTCCCCTCCTTATAAAAAACCTATTGAAGCATGTGGAGTGAAGTAATCTTGGTCATCAGTTCTCCCTGGCTACACCACTGAAGATGAATGCTGGCAACATCTAACACTGCATGTTGGGGAAAGAGGATTGAGCCTGTGAAAGAAGCTTATCAGAACAACTTTAAGAGTGAGATATTACATGTAACCAGTTTCTTAGTGTATGAAGCTTAGCTTGCATTTTCTGTTTTATTTTATTTAGTAGCCTATACTGTTCTGTCTGCTGTTTCTTATGACCACTTAAATCCTACTTTTTATACTTAATAAAAATCACTTTGTTTATTAATAAACCCAGGGTAAATAATTATTAATGAGAGGGGGCAACAAGTCCATGCATATCCCTCTTTACCCTGAGAAAGAGGACAGACATGAGCTTACCTTGTATGTACAGAGTAAGACAGATTTATCTGCGGTTCAGGTCCAACTGAGGCTGTGCATTTGGTGCTGAGGCAAATCCCTTTAGCTGAGCTTTCCCAGACCTAAGCTGAACTCAGCGTCTGTATTATACTGCAAGAGGTCTGTGGCCCTGTCTTGTGCCAGTGCTTGAGGAGGCCTGAAGGGCAGGCTCAAAAGGACAGAGTTGAGGGGCACCCATGAGGGCAGGAAGGTGGACTCAGTGGTATTTCAGCACATCAAGTGATAGTCCCAAGAGGCTCCTCACAATTGAGCCTGTCACAGCATGAATTACTGGCTTTTCTATTCATTATTTTATGTACGTTCTAGCCTGTTTTTTTTAGTCTGAGGCTTAAAATGAAAAACAAACCAGAAACCATGTATTTTTAGCCTAAGAGAACAAAAACCAGATTTCTGCTGAGCCACTTGATCTAAGGGAACGCAACCACAGATCTCATTAGCCTCTTTGATTGCTTTTGTTACCTCTTGGAAGAGAATTATTCATTACCATGCAAATGGAAACAGTCCTTGATGAACCCAAATGGTTACATAACATCCCTTAAAGATCCAGGTAACAGAGTATGGCTACGTCTACATTGGCATGATCTTGCGCAAATACTCTTTAACACAAGAGTTCTTGCATTAAAATAGTTGTACAAGAGAGCATCTATATTGGCCAGGACTCATTGTAAGAACGATGCGCTTTTGTGCAAGAGAGTATTTACATTGGCGGGACACTCTTGTGCAAAAGCAGGAGCCTGGAACCATTTTGGAGAGGGCAAAAGGGCACCATCCCTTTCCGGGGGTGGGGGCTGGAGCTCCTTTGAGACATGT